CAGCAGGATGTAGTGGAGCTTTCAGCGCCCTGCTGGTGTAATGGAGAACAAGGGGAAGGGAAGGCAGCTCCCAGGACCACAGGTGCCATCGCAGGTGTTGCTTCAGAGTCAGGGTGCAGGGTATGGAGCAGGCAGTATTCCTCTCCCAGGCTGGTTAAAGACAGTGTCTCGTCTCCCCCCCATGGCCCCTTGAGTCCTGAGCACAGGTCTCTGGCATGTCTTACAGGAAGGCTTCCAATGGTGGTCTGCAGAAATCCTCCCAGGCCTCAAGGCTGAACCTGAGCAGCTGTTTCGAGGAACACCACCTGCACACAGATGAGATGCACAGCCCGTCCTCAGGAGCAAGGCTTGGGGGCAGTTTCCAGTAGCCCCTTCAAAGGAAACCTCCAGGAACCCTCCCAGAAAACAGCCCACTCCAGCAGGCTTAGTCTATAAAGCAGTGCCTAGGATTTCTCCCCCCAGGGACGTCCTGACAGGGCTCTCAAAGCTTGGGGCATTTGCAGGGGAGTCTGAGTTGAGTGCCACAGAATCAGTGCACAGACACCCTTGGCACCAGAAGGCTGGCAATGGGCCTGTCTAGCATCACCAGGAGGGAGCAAGGCAAAGCTCCCCTTGTGTTTAGCACTTCAGAGCCCAGATCATGACTGGAAGGGAGTGTCTGCAGTGGCCATCCCCTAAGGGCCACTAAGCCAGACTGCAGTAGCCCAGACAAGCCCCTAGCGGAGTGAGCAAGCTCAGGGCAGGCCCTGTTGTGTGTAACTTCGTGGAGGGCACTCCCCAAGCAGAAGCAAGGACGTCCAACTGAGGGTCCAGGCTCTGGCTTTGGGGTGGGGGTAAGAGGGCAATGAGAGATGGGGCTTCTTCCTTCTCCTCTCCTCCCCCTACAGGGCAATGCTTAATCCCATGGACCTCAGCAACATCACCATGGGAAGCCAGGTGGTCTCTCCATCAGGGCACATTCCACCCCTGGGCACACAGGAGTGGGGAGAAGGGGTGTCAGGGAGGGTGGCTCACCCACTGGCACCCCCGAGGGCCCTGTGGGTGGCACACCCAGGCCTACGGTTAATGAGGACCTTGTCAGGGAACTTCTGGAGGGACTAGATGTATTTAAATCCGCAGGTCCTGATGATCTCCCCCCCAGAGTGCTGAAGGAACTAGCAGGGGTCATTGCAGGACCTCTGGCACAGCTCTATGAGCACTCATGGTGCCAGAGGACTGGAAAAGGGCCAATGTGGTCCCCATCTTCAAAAAAGGGAAGAAGGAGGACCCAGAAAACTATAGGCCTGTGAGTCTTATCTCGGTCCTGAGGAAGCTTTTTGAAAGAATTATCCTGGCACATGGAGGGCCAGCAGGGGAGGTTATGCTCAGGGGCAACCAGCATGGGT